TCAAGCAAGTAAATTTGCATAAAATAAATGTAAATATAGTAACACATATGGAAAGAGCCTATGAAAAATACTTACAATAATTCTCATACGTGACTCCAAATTTGAATTGGCTAAATGTTAATTCTTTTGGTACTCAAGTTAACATAAAGGGTTGTAGGAACACAAACCACAAATTACGAACTAAAGACTCCTGCAAAAGATGTCAAATTAAGACCTTGCACCTAATTCTCATTATCCAATTTTTTCATCTCTTTTCATTCGAGACTATCATATTAAGGCAACAAATATATAGATAATCATCACACATACATAAGTAAAAACTAAGGCATTTTTGTTTCTGTATTCATTCATGGTGGCAAATTGACTTTTGACCATAACTATACATAAAGCACGGCTATCTTTTTTTTTTTGAGCATATTGGTGTTCAACCACCATTGGGTTTAGTAAATGGGTGAGGGTTACTCAACATAGTAGGTGTAGTTTCCTTTTATTGTCCTTTTTCATTTTTTTCAACTTTTTCATTATTTTCAACTTTTAAAATTTTCCTCGACTACCCAAACTTTATGTGTGAATCAAAAGTATGCATGATTATATAAGTTAAGTACTCAGAGATGACTAAAATATCAATCATAAAATTTTAAAAAAAATTAAATTGTTTCAAAACATGGGTAAGCAGATATGACAAGCAAAAATCACTCGGTGAAATCCTACAACAACACATGCAAATGACTCAAACCAGTAAAAAACTACAAAATAATAAATATAAACTAGAAAATGGAAAATTCCTCCCGACACTAAAATCCTATATTTCCTTCAGTTTTAAAATATAAAAGTAAAAGAAAGGAATGTAGTACCTCGAGCAAGATCAGCCGCTATCAGAGTAGTCCAACAACATGGCACCGCATCCGACCTTCCAAGAATACATTTTTCGGACCATAAAATGGGTAATGATATCCATGTGATCACGCTCAACGTCCTATTATTGCATGCTTGTTGCTCAGCCCACAAGTCTGCTACCTTGTGTCGTAGAGCATTAAGCTAATACTCCATGCTACTCTGGTAGTTGTATTGTGTACCTGTAGGAAAACCATAATGCATATGGGGAAGGATTCGGGGCTAGAATTGATGTGAATGAGGAGATTGGGGTTGGTGTTATTAAGGAGGAGGGAATGGTAACAGATGGAGAATGTTGTTGTTGTTTACTAGTTCATCCTTAGGAATTGGGTCATCCATAACGTTTGGTTTTGGAGATGTTGAAGAATTTGAAGTAGAATTTCCCTCTTATTGATTCCTTTGCTTGGCTAGTTGTTTGCGCTTTCTGGTCTTGTTATTGTTTCTTCGGGTTGTTTTTTCGATCTCTGGATCAAAAAGACATTGATCTTCCGGTGTTTTACCTTGCATAAATATAATTCAAAAACCTAGTGTAGTAGTGAAAAATTTGAGACCAAGCCATTGATTGACTTGACTCATTACAGTAGAGTCGCCACCACACTTTATTATTTCCAAGGGCATGAGAAAAGAGCGGAAAAAAACCAAAATAAATATGAAATGCAAGAAGTAAAACTAAAAGCAAGTGCAATTAAGAGATCAAAGGTACGAGGGTTGGTTATACAAAGGGAATGTGTTAGCACCCAATGTATTTGCGGTACTCTGCAGGAACCTCTTGAAAATATCTGTGTTTTTTGGTTAAAAAGTTATTGTTTGTTAAAAGAGTATGGTTTAAGAAAATTTGAAAATGTAACGATCTAATGTCGAGGTTTTGGCATAAAAGAGTGTAAGTTTTAAAATAAGGTTTTAAAGGTTTTAACTAAAGGAAAATAAATAGGATAAGAATAAACATGCAATACATACACAATGACATAAAGTCAACAAGACGATCATTTTCCTTAGATTTAGACACAAAAAAATTATAAAGATCAAATAATCAAAAAGAAATTAAACAACTAACAATCACACAGTTAAATAATTAACAACCAAAAAATTAATGGAAATAAAAGAAAGACAAAATTAAACTATTATATATTTTTATGGCATTTTTTATGAGGCAAAGAAAAAATTAAATATAACCTATTATAATATTTTTTTGTATTTGTGGCATTTTAATAAAACAAGGATAACTAAATCTAAAACTAAAAAAAAAAGTAAAAAAGAGAAGAATCTGGCATTGGATTGAACTCAATATCCCAAGGTCACAATAAGCTTCCCTTACCACTACACCAGACCTGTTTTCTGTAGTAAATGCATCTCAAATAAAATAAAATGGAAAATGTAGATTCTGTTTTTCCTTCTACTTACTGATTCTTATTGTGAGATCCTCCCTTCATTATTATGAGATGTTGGTATTTATCCTCAAAATGAGGGTTAAGGCTTGAGAATGAAGCCTAGAATTGCAAGTTGTTAAGATTGTGACAACACCATAATAGCAGAGCAGTGATCTGTGTTGCTGAGATGCAGTTGAAGCATTGAAATGAAAACTTGTTTTCCTATAAAACATAAAGATTTCTTTTGAAGAATCTCTATTCCATATTTGGTTGACTGGACGTGGGGAATCTTCCTAGTTAACATTTTGTGACTTGCTCGATCAAATTCAATATCATGTAATAATTTAATATTTCCTTAATTTATAAATTATTTTGTTTTTTAGTTTTTAAAATTATTTTATAGTTTATTGATTAATCATTAAAATATTAGATAGGACTTAAAACTGGAGTGATAACATCCCAATATCATTTCAGCAAGCCCAATATTTAAATACTTGGAATGTATTATTCAGAAGATTAAAAAGAAATTAAAAGGAAATTAAAAGGAATTGGCATAATAAAAAAATAAAACATATAAAAATAAAATAAATTATATTTTTTAATATTTTTTAGATGATAATAAAAATAATAATAATAAGAAAAGAAAACATGGATTTGTTAGTAATAATAATAAAAGAAAAAAGAGATTAAAATAAAGATGTAAAAATAGAATCACTATTAATAAAAAAAGTAAATAAAATAAAGTTTTTAACATCGATTTTTAATCTTAATAATAATTCAACTAAAAATAAACATTTCAATTTGAATCAAAAATTAAAATCAAAATCAAAGTTAATATTAAAAATAAATAAAAATGTACAAATAATATTAACCACTTTTTTTTTGTTGAGATTTTTGAACGAAGAAGACAAAAAATAAGTCTAAATAAAGTTAATAAAAATTATATATTTTTGTATTTTGATTCAAAATAAATAAGAATAAAATAAAGATGATTAAAATATGAAGAAAAATGGAAATATACATGATTGGTTAAAATCGGGTAAAACACAACTAAAGTCAAATTTCACCAAATTTATGAAACAACTTCTAATATTTCTATTTTTTCTTGACTTTTAAAAGTATAATCAACTCTTTATTTGTAAAAAAAAGTTGTAGATGACGTCAAGGAGAATCATATGCAAAAAGAACCACTCAAAAATATCGAAATTTGAATAAGTTATAAATTTTGAAATTTGACTTGAGAATTGACAAAAATATGTCAAACCACTCATAAACACTCGCTATACAATGATGCACATGGAAGGTGGAATCTTACATAAAAAAATAGGGTATAACACCTGGTCAATAAAAGTGAGCAATATGATGGATATATATATATATATATATATATATATATATATATATATATATATATATATATATATATATATATATATATATATATATATATATATATATATATATATATATATATATATATATATATATATATATATATATATATATATATATATATATATATATATATATATATATATATATATATATATATATATATATATATATATATATATATATATATATATATATATATATATATATATAATATTAACAAGTTCAAAATTGCTTAAAACAATAAAAACCATCGCTATGCTTGTAATATTTAAATGTCAGTCTCCGACAATGACGCCATTTTTAATATTTATTAATCAAAAATAATTATTATTGTTATCGTATCCACATAGATTGATGTGATAATAATGTTGTTCAATAATTAATAGGGTTTTAAGTGAAACATTGCAAGATGTTTGGTGTAAGTAACTTAACGAAATGTAAAATTCGGACATCGATAAATGAAGTCTCAAAGATATGAAAAGTTGTTGGGATTAGATTTCATTATCCTAATGTGTATGTAGCTTTTTGATTAGTTGCATAGAATCTAGTTGTTAATCAACATTTTCATGTACCACTCACTAATAACGTTTATGTTTAAACCCTACTGAAAAATCAACATTATTATTTAGTCTACGATTTCTAAGTCCATTATATAATATGATAGCTTCGAGATTTTTATTGAACTTTTTTAAAATGAAGTTGTTACTATCATTATTATTCTCAATCTTCTACTTCTTACACTCCTATTTTTATTATTTTGCAAATATTTACTTTGATTATTTCATGTTGGTCGAAACATGGCCAAAATCTTTTGCAAGCAAAATCGTTGTATCCCAAAATCCTTCTGCAAGCAAAATCATTGTATCTCAAATGTATCATCCGAGTTTACTCTGCATGGTCTATGGCCTAAGAATAATACCCCATCTCTAAAGGGAAACCACAGGAAATTTTTTAAAATAAAATATCAAAAAGATATTATATCATATTCAAACCAATGCTCATTTTACTCACTCCTAAACATGTTCGGACTATCTTTGATAGAATTAAGAAACCAATTCTACAATTGTGTTAATCTCATGCAAACAACGTGACAGCAGACACAAAAAAAGATAACTATCATTTTATATGTCTAAAATAAAAATCAAAGCACTTTTAAAACAAACACATAATTGAGTATCAATATAATATTGTTTATGGTTTATTAATTTTTCATATACTTCATAATCATAATTTTGATACGAGGGATTGACAATTCACTTTTTATCATTGAAAGTAAAATTAACCTAACAAACACAATCATCAATTTCATATCTCTTATTTCTTATGTGAAAACAAGTAAGTTAACTAATGATTTATTTGTCCAATTGAAACAAGGCTTTCTTTATAAATTATTATTTTAGAATAATACGCTCCTTTGACCCCATCAAGCTCCTCAATCATTTGGGTACATAAATCAAAGCAAATTGGTTCTCTTCCTTCTTTCCTTGCGAAGAATATATCTCCATTCTTTCCCGCTCCAATAGGATACATAATGTCGTCGGACAAGGGTCCAATAACAAAGATTTTAGTCCAAGATTCACTTACACCCAATTTGCCTAAAATTGATATGTGAAAAGTAGTTGTATACCCTAAAATCGAAGCAATGGATCCATTTAACAACACCACTGCAGGGTGCAAAACATTATCGGGATCTGTGTCTAAGAATACGAGTGTGGGCATGAGTGTGGTAAAACAAACTTCATTAGTAAACTCAAACGACACCAAGTATTGTTCACCATATTGTCCATGAGAGATCGAGAGCCAATGACACATTCCATCCAAGTACAATAGATCATTATTATAATGGCTGCCCTCCGAACAACAAGTAGGAAGGACGAGATCAACTTTCCTCCAAGAGTTACATATTAGGCTATATACCTCCCAAAAGGGTTCATAGTTCTCACACATATCTTCCCATTGTGCATCAGACGGAATAACATGATGATCATCATCATCATCTGTTACATTAATAAAACCTACTTTCCTAATAATCTTATAGTCATCCCTAACAGGGTCATAACCAAATCCATGAATTTCCTTCATAATAGCCCGATAAGGTGGTAGAGAATCGACAGGGCTAGGAGGAATGACTTTGAATTCTTTTATAGTTGGATTCCATAATATAATCATGTCCTCATCATCGTAAAGACATAAAATTCCATTTATACTACCAGAAACCAATATATAATAGCCAGGGTTGTCATGTTGAAATGGATTTGGAAAGTCCAATTTAACTTTATTCTCAAATCTCTCACCGGAAAGTAAATACAAAGGGAAACTCATGTAAGTATGATTGTGATTCCATTTAACTTGATAAAGGAGGAGAGATGCATCATTGTAATAAGAGTGAGGAATGGATATGAAATTATTGCAAAACTCGATCATAAAATTAGGGTTTTCAAAAAAAACAGACCATGTTTTGTTTACACATCCAAAGCGCTTCAATGATTTTAAAGGAAGTTTTGATAGAATGAAGAAAGAAAGATCATTAGGTATGTGATTTCTTACCTTCTCACATACAGATATCACCATCTTCGTTGACAGAGCAAAATACACAATGAGATAAAACGTTATTTTTGCAAGTGCGAAAAAAATGTCCGAAGTTGAATTTCTTATTTACTCACTGGAAAAATTATTCTTGACTATTTATTTATGCATAAAGAATACTTAATTGAGAAGTAATTTTTTTCAAAGAGAAGTAATTACAAATATTCCTTTTTTTCTTTTATTTTTTTGGTAAAATTGCAAATTATCTTTACTCCCTTGAATAATTTGGTTTCTTCATTTTCTTATTTACCTCATTATTTTATTAATTTGCAAAATTATCTTTTCTATTTCAATTTATTTTCATTCAAAAATACATATTATTTTACTTTTCCTATTGGTTCTAAATTTATATATTTTTCTTTCTTTTCATAAAATATTTTAAAAGTATATAAATTTTTAGTAATTTATTTATAAAAAAATACATAAATTTTTAGTATTTAAATATTTTTTCATTATTTTCATAAAATATTCCAAAAATACATATATTTTACTAAAATATTTATTCATTTTCAATATTATAGTTTATTTTAAAATATATATTTTTCTTTCTTTTCATAAAATATTTTAAAAGTATATAAATTTTTAGTAATTTATTTATACAAAAATACATAAATTTTTAGTTTTTAAATATTTTTTCATTATTTTCATAAAATATTCCAAAAATACATAAATTTTACTAAAATATTTATTCATTTTAAATATTATAGTTTATTTTAAAACATATATTCATTCAAAAAAACATAATATTTTATCTTTTTAAAATTTTTTCTATTTTTCTTTTATGTTTTTATATATTTTTTCTTTATTTTTCTAAAATATTCTATTAATATTTAAATTTTACTAATTTATTTATTCATTTGCAATATTATTATTTTTTTATGATCTATTTTATTTAAAAAAACAAAATATTTTACTTTTTATAATTGATTCCATTTTTATTTTTTATTTTCGTAAATATTATAAAAATTTGTAAATTTTACTAAATTATTAATTCATTTTCAATATTATACTTTATTTTACAATCTATTTTCTTTCAAAAAACAAATTATTTTACTTTTTTTAATTGATTCTATTTTTTTATATTTTTATATATTTTTATTTCTTTTCATAAAATATTTAAAAATATATATTTATTCCAAATAAAAATCATAAATTTTTTATGTTTTTATTTATAAATATCTAGTCTATTTAGTAATTTTAATTTAAATAAAAAGTAATATTATAAAGTTGGATTGTGCATTTCTTATTAATTTTATCATTGAGGTAAAAAATTATTTTATCATTTTACCAATTTATCCTCTTATTTTTTTAAGTTTAAATGCAGTTTTGACCCCTCAAATTTATCAATTGTTTGATTTTGGCCTCTCAAATTTCAATTGTTTAGTTTTGGCCCCCCAAATTTGTCAGTTGCTATATTTGGGCTCCTTAAGTTTGTCCTATTTTACATTTCATAGACTCTTAGTGACATGTAGACTGAACTTCTCTTTTTTGTTACTTTTTCACATTTTTTTACTTTTTTTTTCTTCTAATTTTCTTCTTTACAGTTCTATTTTTCTCTTATTTTTAATAGTTAAATTTTGAACTAAATATCTTGAAAATCTTAATTATTATATTCAACATATACTTAATGGAAAATTATTTTGACAATAAAAAAGATAGATCACTAGCTAATTAAAATAGCTAATTAAAATAATAGACTCTTTAGCCAATAACATGTGTGAAGCTTTTAACAAAGTTATTTTAGAATATAGGTACAAGCCTACAATTTTCCTTATAAAAATTTTGAAATTTTATATGACTAATAGGATTGTTAGATTTTAAGACTTTATGCTTAAATATGAGAGAGTTATTGGCCAAAGAGATTATTATTTTAATTAGTTAGTGGTCTATTTTTTTTGTCAAAAACAATTTTCCATTAGGCATATGTGAAATGAAATATTTTAAATTTTTAAGACATTACATTCAAAGCTTAATTAATAAAAAGAGAAGAAAAATAGAATTATTGAGAAGAATTTTTTTTAAAAAAAAAAGAACAAAAAAAGTCACAAAAATGAGAAGTTTAGTCTACATGTCATTAGAAGACTATCAAATACAAATGGGTTCGAATTTGAGAGGTTAAAATCAAGCAATTGAAACTTGGGTGGCCAAAATCAAACAATTAGAAAACTTAGGGGGACTAAATTCAAGTAATTGAAACTTGGAGGACCAAAATCAAGCCATTGAGAAATTTAAGGGGCTAAAATTGCATTTAAATATTTTCTTAACAAAAGCTTTTATTTTCTCATAAATGCTTCTAGTTTCCTATATTTCTTTGTACAATTAAAAAAATCTAAGTGCTATTGAAATGTAATATTTTTATATGACTCTAATTGATAAAAATAGTTGTTGGTTGATAAACTAATTAATAACTTATAACTTATGGTTGATGGTTGAGGAGTGATAGCTTATAACTCATAGTTGATGGTAGTAAAGCAAACAAAACATGTGTTTAATAAATTAATAATAAGAACACAAAAGAATTGAATATGAAAATAATTAAAATTGATTACGGAATTAAATATATTTCGAAGGAAGACTTTGATCTAATTACAGCAGTAGAAATGGAAACGCAAAAGTGCAAAATTTTAATGCTGGATTTTAAAGTAAATATAGTGAAAATAAACTTTGATGACTTCGCAAAGAATTAGACGCCTATTTATACTGAATTTCACACTCTAAATGATTTACAAACTAAACAGAATTAAGGGAAAACATGGAGAAGTGGATTGAAAGGCCAACAAAAAATGCAGAAAATTCTGCGATTGGACATCATGATGCATGACGGTGTGTTTGTCATGATGTGGGGTTTCTCATTTCAAACTCCAGGCCTATGACGGGCGTCAACATGGCTTACAGTGCTGACGGGTTACTCATCATAGGTTCTTTTACTTGTACTCATTGTTTCCACGTTAAGGCCATTACGACATGCCTTCGTGGGCCATGATGAGAGACATTCCCACCTCTCATCCAGTTTGATCCCTTCATTTTCTTGCTTTTTATTAGTTTCTCTCCGCGATCGATACCTATCCTTCAGTGCCTTCAATGCAAATTAAAATCCCAACTTATTGCAATGAAGGAAATGTAAAATGACACTGAAACTACTAAAATCAAGCTAATTAATACGGTGATAATGCTTGTTATCAAACTCCCCCATACTTGAATTTTTGCTTGTCTTCAAGCAACTTAGCTTTCATAAAATAAATGTAAATGTAGTAACAAATATGAAAAGAGCCTATGAAAAATACTAACACCAAAACTCATACGTGATCCCAAATTCGAATTGGCTAAATGTTAATTCTTTCGGTACTCAAGTTAACACAAAGGGAATGGAAGGAACACCAACCACATATTACAGACTAAAGACTCTCGCCAAAGATGTCAAATTAAGCCATGACCTTATACCTAAGTCCCATTATCCAAAAATTTTCATCTCTTTTCATTCGAGACTATCATATTTAGGCAATAAATATATATAAATAATCATTACACATACATAAGTGAAAACAAAGGGATTTTTGTTTCTTTATTCATTCATGCTTGCAAATTGACTTTTGATCATAAGTATATATTAAGCACGATTATATTTTTTGTGGAGATTGGGGTTCAACCACCATTGGGTTCAGTAACTAGGTGAGGGTTACCCAACTTAGTAGGAGTAATTTCCTTTTTTGTCCTTTTTTGTATTTTTTTCAATTTTTTCATTATTTTAAAATTTTAAAATTTTTCCTTGATACCCGAACTTTGTGTGTGAATCAAAAGTATGTATGATTGTATAGATAAACTACTCAGAGATTACTACAAAAAGGACTTAAAGACTATGATACAAAGAAGATTTAAATTGATACCAATTTCAGAGGCTTTAGGTGTTGACACAATACGAATTTTACTTAAAAAAATTACGATGTCCTTAACCTTAGCCTTATCTCCTTTGAAATCTATATACTTTCTTAGTTAAATACCAATCATAAGCTTTTCCAAAAAAAATTGGTTCAAAACATGGGTAAGCAGATATGACAAGCAGAAATCACCCGTGGAAATCACACGACAACACATGCAAATGACTCAAACCAGTAACAATTAAACTACAAAATAAGCAAAAAGTCCTAACTAGAAAATAATAAATATAAATTAGAAAATGAAAAATTCCTCCCTGACACTAAAATCCTACACTTTCCTCAATGGTAAAAGATAAAATTAAAAGAAAGGAAAAATAGTACCTCGAGCAAGATCAATCGCTATTAGAGTAGTCCACCAATATGCCACTGCACTGGACCTTCAAAGAATACATTTGTCGGACCATAAAATGGGTAATGTTATCCATGTAATCCCGTTCAACATCCTATTATTTCATGCTTGCTGCTCAGCCCACAAGTCTTCTACCTTATGTCGTAGAGCATTGAGCTCATACTTCATGCTACTTTGGTAGTTGTATTGTGTACCTGAAGGAAAATAATAATGCATATGGGGAGGTGTTTGGGGGTAGAATTACTGTGAATGTAGTACCAGATTCTTGGTAAGATTAATAACATTAGTATTGTCGTACATGATTGGCATACATGAGAGTTTTTTTATCAAAATCAAGAAATTCTTGCTTAAGCCACAAAATTTGAGCGCAATAACTACCAACAGCCACATATTCCGCCTCGTTCATTGACAACGCTATGAAAACTTGATTTTTACCATTCCAACTAACCAAGGGGTTTTAAAATATGTGACAAGTTCCACTAGTGCTCTTCCTATCCGATTTATATCCGGAAAAATCAGAATCAGAGTAACAAAGTAAACTACAATCGCTTCCCTAGAATACCAAAGCTCATATTTAGAAGTACCAATAAGGTATCTAAGAATGAACTTAAGTGCTTTTAAATGCGATTCTTTGGGAGTCGACTGATATCGGGAACAAATGAAAACACTATACATAATATCAAGCATAGAGTTCGTAAGAT